ATGAAGGTAGTCACCAGCATAGACCCGTAGGGTGCCTAATCGGGTTAAATGAAATCAAATTCAAAACTTGATATGCTACAAATACATGGTTTCGTTTACTTGAATACAGTGATTCTTTTCATGCTCCCTGACTCTGTAGTGGATACCATTACATAAGCATCACAATAAATGAGAGCTTCGTACTAACCTACACATCTATGAATCTGAGATCTCCAGAAGTCTCCTACAACAATCCCGACAGTTAGCCGAGTGGTAATTATTTTGGGATTGGGCGGCAAGGCAAATAAACCCTGCATATAATTTGCGGGAGATCGCATCAAAAAAGTCAAGCCAAATAATGGAAAAAAATGCCATCAGGAGCCATCTATAAAGACGTGCAATTGAATCACATGTGATCTAAAATTCAATACTGTAATTCACTCTTAGATTTGTTTCACATGAATGAGGTCAATGTCTTCCTGACTGGGCAGAAGATTATCTCCCATCAAATATAATTCAAAGCATGATCATTAGACCACACGAAAAATCATACTGCATTCCGTATCTGAGATTTGAATGCACCATCTGTCACTGGCTGCAACGATCAATCGAGTTTGCACCAATGAATAATCATCCCGATCTCCTCACAGACAGATTAATAATCATAAAAAACCGGTATTATTGACATGAAATCTATTATATCAATGTCTCGCGATGAAGATGAGCACTTTTCACATGGCGAACGATTCATCACTTACTCCTCAGCGGCTTAAGACCTTCAATCTAATGTATAAATCTACGATATTCATGCAGAACGTTTCCGATAAATAATTAAACTCTATCCTGCATACCTAAGTGTACAAATTAAGAATTAATGGCAAAGTTGAAGTACGATTGAAGTGTCGATGATCGATTATAGTAATACTTACTTTTATTCAATCATCATCAATCCGATATTTCATATTCATCGTCTCGAAGAAAATCAAACCAAAACAGGCTTTATATACTTTTAGAAAAAGATATCTCGGCATATCTCGGCATATCTCGCATTTTCGGCATTTTTCGGAAGTGAAATCTTTATCTCTGGACCTGGATGTTCAAATCGTGCATTTTATATAGCGGCAATACTTCGGATGAACCACACTTGGGACGTCTCGTTTCTTGTCAATGCTTAAGGGCTAGGTATGAGCAGTTCGTCAACATGAATATACATGACTCCAGCATGCCATTGATATGCAGTTGTACAACTGATGGTGTTAGTTTCAATAGGATACGAACTTGCTCAATTCTAACTCAATTGCTTAAGACAAGATGACATCTAATCAATATTTATGCAAACATAGTAATTTTATGGCCAGCTCGATTTTTCGACAACAAATCTCCAAATATAGAGGCATATTTGTACGAATACTGATGCGCACATCTCTGAAAGCCAATCTTAACATCTCGACTCAAATAGAAGCGATAAAAAATTGCAGCGATAGTAATCAATTTGGCCCGATCAACTCTACGTGCAATAAATCTATTCCTATGCAAAAAGAAGAAAACAAAAAGATCCCGTCATCAAGAACTTTATGAATACCAGTTTGTCAACGACTCGGTTCTTGACAAAATTTCATTCGTTTTTGTTATGGCCGTATTATTTAACTCCTTGATGTACAGTTTTAAGGACGAGTGATGCCAGTATGTCTTCAAGTAAGCTTGTATTCATTTTATAAATGTACGGAAATAATTTCAATAAGGCGACAAAAACCATGACTTCACATATGAGAGTAACTGGAAACAAATTTCATACCATAGATGCAGAATTATTTCGGTCGGAGAACAAAGAACATCGGGAAAATCTAATGTTTTGATGAATAAGTCCATGAACTGGGTCATGAATCCTCCCAAAGTTCAGTTGAGCCTTACAATTATCCAAGGAGTGATCAGTAGACAAAATTATTCAGTTCGACATTATTATCTCAAAGTTAACATGGCCACCCCATTCTGGATTGAAATTATTTATCAAATTTTGAGTCTTGGATGAAATTTCTTTTTCAACTACCTTCCCAGCTGTGTTTTTTCTCGACGGTGTATGGCATTCAATCGACTGTATGAATAGATGATCAATGTTGACTTTATTTATACACGCTTCGAAATGATACATAAACAATTAAAATCCATTCCAAAATAAGCTTTCATCTAATAAAATAGCTGAAATATATGAATAAACTTGAGGTGATATCTTATGAAATGGAGTATATCAGCCAGTTCAATATCGAGACTTTAGCCAAAAAATGGAGCTGCAACAATAGTAATGGATATCAGTAACATTATCGTTAAACAAATGTTAAAGTCTTAATTGCTTATTCAGATAGTAGACGCAGAAGTTGAGGTTTAAAGCTTTTCTCCTGATAATCAAAATTATCTTTAGCACCGTTTTATGGAAGCATGTCGTGACAAAGGTATAGTGGAAAACTTATAGGAAACTTCTAATCCCCATCATTGACCAACGACAATCTGAGGGTCCTAGAAACTCGATGGAAATACATGATGTTCCTTCCAGCTGCATATGGTCGCTATATGCCATTCGAATTTCAATATGATTCTCGCTACAATCTGAAAGGGATAATGTATGTACTCTAACATCGCGTGGACGAATTATGATTCCATAACCACCATAATAATGCCTAGCTATGGCTGAATAAAATGATTTGCAGGAACGACTATAATTTTTCATGTCAGATACTTTTTTGGTGGATCCTACACTTGGTTAACGCCACTTTGAATGCTATTCGAATGCCACGATACAGTCTTGACTCACCAGTCTCGGAACTGTCATACTGATGGGTATAAGAAGCTTTTCCAAAGGGTCATGATGTCTAATTTCAGACTTATCTTGAAGTGGTAAAACCGGATGCTTAATGGTTCTAAGCTTACTTCAGAGACTAGAATAAGAAGACAAATTGCTACTTACAGTCCGCTTTTCAGAAAATGCCCGACCCTGGCAAAAAAGGACGTATTGACTACAATCCAAATCTACAGACGTACAGGACAAAATGATGGGGGCTATTACGCTTCGCGAAACAAATATTGAGTAGGGAACCACGTATGCCAGGCGACAACTGAGGTCCGTGCTCATCATTTCCATCGCTCCTTCTCTTTTTGGAACACTTCATCTATACGAGCTGGCTACAGCTATTGGCTCAAATATCAGGTGCCTGAACGGTCTAGAACGAAGGAGATTCGATCAAAGAATAGCGCAGCTTACAAAGAAGTAAATCATCTCTAACAACCTACACGTGATGGTCACGTTATTCGAATACTGGCACATAGTGACTTACCTAAACACGTATGACGCAAAAGACGTCATAGCGAAACGTGGGAAGTGTATGGGTGCATGAGGAGAACGTTCCTACAAGTCACTTAGGTATAGACATTAACTGTGTGAAATTAAGGAATTTAATGATGTGTTCGACCTCATGTCGATCCTATTCATCTATAGGTATCGCTACAAAAAATGAACTAGTTTGATTTACACCCGAATGGAGGGAAGTCTTCGGACCTCTCGGCTTTCGACGCTCGGTCCTCGAATCTAAGAAAGCAATACACCACCTCTACTCAATTCATTCGTGCCGTAGTTACGTAATCTTACCGAGCCGTCCGACTCAAAAGGCATGTGTTACTTGCCTAGGATCAAAGTGTATAGGCCGTTACGGATACGGATACGGCGAGTGGTATTGACCATCATCCTGGCCGACTCGGGATATGTCGTCAAGGGGTCGAATTGAATCACAGCTATCATCAGAATGTACGGAAGTGCAATAATATGGGTTATTATTCTTCATCAGACAAAACACGGCCATATCTACGGGTAGCTCGCTCATAAGATTTCCCTCTCTCTCACACCTGATGGGAAAATCTAGCGGAAAGCTCACATCCAGACGAGAATCTGAGTTACTGATATCTTACATTCTCCACGAACTTGTCTCAAGGATATGGGGGATAGAATTGCAGGTGATCCGAGCCAGGAACGTATCCAGACAATTAACCCTGTCTAAAATCAAATACTTGCTCATTTCTCGTCTAAGCTAAGCTCCGGGAAGTCCGGAATACGAAAATCGGCTCAATCAGCGCGGGAGACATCAAGATTCACATGTGCTACATATTATTCCGTCGTCACGGCGTTCAACGGGTCAAAGCACGGATAGAATATTGCCGTTGTTTACTGTGTTGTTGTTACGGGAGACGATTCCGCATAATCACTCGACTGCTCATTCGTCGGTTTCGTGGGTCAAGATGATTTGGTAGAGTGGGGTGTTATGAAAATGTGAGCAGATATGTAATCTGAAATGATAAGATAGTAAACAAAGTTTTGCCTTAAAAAGCGCTGATGGTTGTGGTGAATGAATTCTTTCTGTACCACTTCATACAACTTTATATCTTCACAAAATCATAACCACACAACAACACAACAACACAACAATCCGACACCACACTTCACAAAATCTCACCACATCTCACCACATCTCGCCACATCTCACGGGAAACATTACTTTTCCCTTCGAAATCTAACTTACTACCATTATCCCTCATAACATCATGGACTCAACAACTATTTTTGTAAATGACTTTGGTCTAGGGGGGACATCTACAAACCCAACACAGATCCAAAGCAGTGGCTCTCCAAGAGCAAGACTTACCTCCCAACCTTCGACTCAACCATCGAAAAGGCGGCGGATTTCCCGCGCCTGTGATGAATGTCGCAAGAGAAAAATCAAGTGCGATGGTAAGAGTGTCTGTGATAATTGCATCTATTACAAATCGGGTACGCAACAGTAGACATCAAGTCAAGGTATCTTACTAAATTAACTTATTAGATTGCACTTATTGTAAGCCCTCAAACAGACAAAAGAGGCCGAGTCGAAAAGACTGTGAAAATCTACGGAAACAGTACCGAGAAGCCTTGGATAAGCTAACAGTCCTGGCCCCTGATATGGATCTCTCTAGGTTCACTGACGGCATAATGGTCCCAGAATATGGGATCGATATTCATTCCTCGGATGATTTGCGGACCTGTCTATCCTACAAAAGCGATGATCAGGTATCACCGAATACCAATTATTCGATGACACCTGATCATCAAGTAGAGATGGTCGGGATCCAAAATCACAGCGAGGCCGTCAGCTGGGAGATTCGAGGGGACTTATCCGGCGTTGACGTACTTCAGCATATCCGGGAATACGTGAATGACGTTCTGAGTGAGTATAACACCACGATAAGTTCGGATTCATGTCCCGGTATGTCCTCATCGGAATCTTCGTCGATTTTATTCGCTCGGTCTGGAGATAATCCATCTTGCCTGGGAGATTTACCGTCTTTTGAGACGGCAAAAGAAGTTTGTGAAGCCGCTTTTGGCGAAACAAACACATTATATTGTTTTATAGATACGCCTGCTTTTTACCTGATGCTAGCAGAGCTATACAAACTTCCTGGCGATTATTTCATGGGCAAGAACAACGATTTCCTAAATCTTCTCTTTTCAATTCTTGCTCTGGGCTTTCATGTCCAAGATAAACGTCACAACGAACGCAATAGGTCAGGAGATTTGATAAGCAAAACAGGAATTGACCAAGGGTAACATTAGATTTAATTTTCTTCATCTAATCTTCAAGATGAACCATGAAACTAACTTTTGCTAAGTCGAAAATACTTTACTTGCGCAAGATGCGCCATAGATATTTCCGACTGTGGAACCATTCCGCAGCTCCAAACAGTTTTATTCTTAGTCCTTTACCTCCAATCTACTGCTGGCCTGGATGTAGGCTATTCATACATTATACTGGCACAGCAATCGGCTTTTCGAATGGGGTTGCATCTGAAGCATGATAATCAATGTAATCCCATAGAGAGCGAAGTAAGATTGAGGATCTTTTGGACGATTCAAAAGATGGATATCTCTATGTCGGCAATTCTTGGATATCCCAAGATTCTTGATCTGGATACTATTGACCAAGAAATGCCGACAGAGGTATTCGACGTGAATATAACTGAGTCTGGTGAGAATGGCTACCCAGTAGCAAAATGGTCATCATTACTGCAAGCATCCAACGCTCATATGCGGCTAATCTTGATACTTGATAAAGTAATCAAGTACATCTATCCCAACAATAGAGTGGGAAGATCCGTTAATGAAGCTTTGGATACTGGGCATATTGTTGACCACGCCATCGTGCGGGAAATCGAAAATGATCTTCAGCGATGGCGTCAAGGGTTACCAATGGGTATCCTTTCTGGCAGAAGTGAAAATCATCAAAGCTACTGGTAAGCATGTTGCACGGAAAAAGGTCATTGGCATCAATATCTCTAACAAACTTTACAACAGCACGCAACAACTTTTAAGCCTCGTTTATGCTCACGTGCAGATGATGCTTTATAGACCATTCTTGTCATACATCTCCGGAAATGCTTTTGTCGACGCAAATAAAAACAAAAAGTCACAGGCTTGCGCTTCTGCCTACTTTGGAGTATGTCAGAATGTGATTCGAATCGTGAAGGAGTTGCAAGAACGTGGATTAGCCATTGGACCGAGATGGTTTACGGTAAGTCATCCATAATCCTGGTATAATCATTGGGAAGCTCTCGAATAAATCGAACCATTTGATTTGGCATATCCATTTTTTCAAGGAAAAGGTGACTGACATTCCAGTTACAGATAAATATCACATCATTTGCCACTCTGTCCTTGGTTTATTTCAACTGTCAGCGGACTAATTTGTCTCGACCATCGGACCTTCATCCTGACCCTCAAGTGGGACATGAGGCGACCAAGGTTATAGCGCAAAGAAAACGGGATGCATGCAGCTTTTCATCAGCCTTTCAGGTTTGTGGCTTACCAGTATGGGGTATAGCGTGCTAACATTTTCGAGACTCTATCGAGACAAATATCGCCAAAGACCATGTCTAGCATCAGAGGTACAGTAGCATCAACTCACAGTAAGGAGGTATTACCTATCTCAGCAACCTTATCGGTCGAAAGAGAGCAAATTCAGACTAGGTCTGACTCACGCTCATGTCTTCCGGAGGAGGCCCCTAATTGTGAGCCTACAAACCAAAGGCTAGAATGGGATAATGAAAATGTAGCCGAAGTCTCAAATCTTGCCAGCAATACTAGACAAGATTCAGTATTGACTCCGTGTGAGAGGTCGGATGACGAGATTTTCGAGTTTATAAATTTTGAAGGCGATGAGGGTTTGAAGGGTTTTGACACGCAAAATGAAAGTGTGGCGGGAACTTGCTCTCTAGATATGGAATCAATCCAGGATATACCTACTGAATCTACGGATCTGGCCTTCGAAAGCATGTCAATGGACAACCTCATTCATTCTTGGAAATATGATAATGGGGTTCCTGATTTAGACGAAATGATTGAGACCGGGATATGTTTGGCAGAGAGTAGAAATGCAGCGAGTTTTGGTCCTCGGAACCAGAAGGATAATATAAATGGGACCAAAGTTTCGAATTAAAATTCAAGAATAAACGGGATCGGTGTTTGGTTAGGGCTCTGGGATATGGGATATGAAAGCGAAACGTATAGATTAGCGGGAGTTTAAAAGTCATTTTAGGCAATGGAAATTACTGGAGGATAAATTTTGTAGTAATCATATAATATCATACATGAATAGTTTTCTTAAATTATTGATAATGATTCATGAAACGTTTACATGCTATATTTTTGGTGATATATGATTAAAAGAGAGGTGATGTCAAGGTGCGCAAACTATTAGTTATTTTTCAATATAATCAGAAATGTGAGTGAAATCGAATCTGTGATGAATGGCTCGTTGAGAAAAAACCTGTGAGATACATTGGGGACTCAATGAACAACTGTTACGGCTTGATACTTTGATTTACTTCGTGTACATTCTGTATCAGGTCTTAAACTGGGGTCAAATACTCTCGTGATCTTGGAATAGCACAGAATTGTTTATGCAATCCTGCACTAACGTTATGCTACGGTGTTTGATAAGGATGCTCATTCATTCATTGTTCTAGTTTAACGTCCGATTTGGCTTCTATATACAGATCCATGAAGATGGTAAGCCGCTTTGTTATAGAAAAAGCTTTAAAATAAAACCCGATGTCCCGCCACTCTGAACCGACCCGGCTTACTGCTGAGGACGTTCCTTTCAACCACAAATTTATAAACTTTCCTCGAAATTCATTAACTCCCCCTTCGATGAGACTAACGTTGTAAAAAACTAAGGAAGGGAGGTAGTACCTCCTCGCTCGGCGTTGGTCTACGAAGTGTTCGAAGAGTTGGCCCCGATGGCGGTGCTGCTGTCGAGGCGATGGTTGGTACCACTGGGGCTTCGACTACCTTGCGTGGTCGTCCCGGCCCTCTTTTGAGTCCTTCAGCCTTCTTACTGGTGACCAAAGTGAATCCCTGATTAACTGTCGTTCCGACTGTTCGCATTGGCGCCATGGTAGGTTTGTCGTTCCATATATCTGCCGTTCTTGACAACAGCTCCATGCGAGCCTTCTCCACACTTCCCTTGTAGACCTAGTAGGTCCGACACGCTGCTATTTGCCATGAACGGTGTTCCTTGCCGCAGTTCGCACAAGAAACCCTTTTCCTAGGACAGTCCGGAGTTTGATGAGCACCTGCGCACTCACCGTATGACGCTTGGGTGTGTCCCCACTGGCTGCAATTGTAACACTGTTTTGGCTGGTGTCGGAAAATATGGTTATTTAGAGACAATTATATCACCCACTAAGTTGTAGTAGTGTTTGGATCCCTCTGATTGGTCTGAAGTGTGGGCCCTCATGTACGGGTATTGATCGCACTAGCGCCTTGGCATCTACATAGGGTAACTCACTAGATAGTTTAGATAGAGAAGAGAGAAGAACAACTAACCCCTCTGAAATTCAGAACCTATTGTGCTAGCACTTTTAATACCCTTGATATACCGACAGCTGGGCTCGCGGTGACCACACCTGCGCGGTGAAGAGCATGCCATTAATTACAAGGCCCTGTCGAACTACCTCCGTTTGCATTGCCTCTGATGGGAGGCTGACCACAATTGATCCTCGATTGCGGCCGTTTTTCTTCGATCGCTGGTGCCCCTTTCCATCATGTAGTCACCTGATTCGATTAATCACCAGGCCAGGAATTCGAGCCTTAGATGCTTTCTCAATCTCCCTGATGATAGCGTGGTTTTCGGTATCTCTGACACTTTCAATTCGAATCCGCAAAGGGTCACCAGAAACCTCGACGGGAAAATCTTCCCTTAGGATCTTAAAGCCGTTGGATTGGCGCATGTTGAGCGCCGCGTCTATCTGGGACGTCGACTGGACGAACACCTCAGTGTTATTGCTATGCATTTGGTGAATCGCGTATGCGCCTTGAATATGTTATTGTGCCTTTGTTAGCAGCTCTTGTGGCTGCAAGTTTTGTGCGCCGTCGATTCTTATTCTGACCGCCGTTTTCGCCATTTGCGGAGCAACGACCGGAGGGCAAGACTGAACACCTGTAAGCGGTGTCCTCTACGAACCTGAGAGTGAAATATTCTCCCAGAGCCAAGTTCAGTCAAATTTCGCAATATCAAAGAAGTTGGCCCACGAGGCAAAAATTCAAATTACTCCACCACGTCAATCTTTCATTCCCAAAGAGTCCGATTCTCGACTAAGCTTCATCAAGTCTACAAGTACGACATAGTACATCCTCACCCCAATGATCACACCTCTAGTCGACTTTCTCTGGCCTTAGTTGACCGCCAAATACACGCCCACGCCGATATTTATACCCGACGGAGGAAGCAAAGTGTGGCGCACAAATCTGGGGGATAGTTCTTTGGGATGGACGTGAGAGGGATCAGGACAAGTTTACAAGATGATGCAAAAGAGGGATACATTCTCGACGGGCGTGAAATTTCGAATTTTGGCAAGAGTTTTACGAATCGAGCTTTGTGCGCGCCAAGACTTCGCTTGCGAGAGTGCAGCTGACACTATAAACACAAGCAAACGATGGAAGGTGTTGTGGTCCGCCTCCTGGCGGTGTTCTCCGGTATAGTCTGAGTAGCCTGGGCACCTACTCCACTTGGGAAGGAGACATCTCAGATTACATTTCGCGCGGAGAAAAGTTGATGGATGACGGAGGCATGTCTGGATAACTCGGGGTTTTTGAGATGTTCCCCTGAGTGGATATTCACGGATGAGGGTTGACTTGGGGTGAAGAAAAAGCTGCCATAACTTCGCAGTGGTACTTGCAAATGAAATCTGAGGCATGAGTGCTCCTCTTGTAAATTAAGTCATTTTTTCTGTACTTTTCTTTGATATTGTGTCATAGCTAGATAGCTGCATACGCAATTAAAATCTGATGCAAAAAAGAAAGGAGCAACGACCGACGCGTAGGTCCTTGTAGCGGCTTCCCTGACGCGCAACAGGAGCTGCTTGTCGTGCGGCGTCCGCGATGCCTTTCTTTACCACCTCCTCCAACGTTATCATCCTCTCCTCAATCGGAGATGGGATCTGGGACATCGTTGTCCAAGCCTTCTTGTGATAATTGAATGCCTTGACGGCTTCATTTACGTCTTCCATCGTTGGTAGGTCCTCCTCATCCATCACTCCCATCACAATTGGTATTGGAAATTCCGGCTCTCGAATTTAGGACTCAACCGTTATCTAATTCGTCTCAGGTTTCCGATAAGATCGACTCTCTCTACACATGTCCCGAGTACGCTAATCGCGCCTACTGTCGCCAATACGTTTGGATATTTACGTAGTATAGTGTACCTTGGCTCATCATGGTAGATGAGAGGTGGCTGGTCATCACTAGTTTTGACAGGCACACGAGACTAGTGGGAATTTCTTCCCTAAGATGTATATATAAGTCCAATGTTCCCATAGTTGTTAAATATCAAGTCTTCTTTACTTCATCATATTTATCCATATAATATCGTACAGAGTATATTTCCCAACAATTAGTCTGACCTTTTTTAATAGCTTCCCCGTTATTTCCAAGTTCAGATCCTTTGGAGCTGTCTGCACTCCGCTGCCGTTGTTTGTTGATGACCTTGTCGCATTTTGCAACGCGGCGAAACCACTGGATTTACCCACACCAGCACCCACACTCGCCATGTTGGAGCACGAAAAGCGAAAAGTTGAGAGGAGGGTAATGAAGATGTAAAAATAATGATCACGATGTCAAATTGATGATACGGGCAGCATGGAACGCTGCGCAGCTTTCTGGCAAAAATGATGTTTTTTTTAATAAGGAAGTTATTGTAGACTTCTGCACATACAGGAATAGCCGCGCTATGATTGGTGGGATGAGTAAGTTGTAAATCTACAAGGGCCTCGATGAAAGTGTCCCAGATGAAGTCTGCAATCGACGAATAGGTGATGGCACTAAAAGAGGCAGTTAAGAAGATCTTCGCGGATCCCTCTCATGATCTTACTCCAGGAGTGGGAACGGGGATTTCGCCAACAACAACCCACACGTCGATCGTATCTACTCACATAGCCAAAATTAGAAGTTCGTATCAGAATTTATGAATCGGACAAACTGCAGCCGGAAAAGCTGCTTTCAAAGGTAAAAGAGCACCTTCAAGGTGCATATGCAATTCGATAGATGCGCAGCTACGAAACTGAGGTGTTCGTACACTCCACATCCTAGAGAGACGCAGCACTTCATATGTGTCACTTCCTTTGCGTCAAACAAGTGAATTTCAAATTCGACGGCAAGACTTTCCAGTCGAGGTTTTCGAAGTCCCACTTCGGACAAGAATCGAAGGTGGCAGAGATGCCGATAACCATGCCATAATCGAGGAGATACAGATGGAAGTGTTCCGAAACGACCTACTTATCAACGCCATACTCTTCAACGCGCAGATATGGTTCCCACGAGCCCAGCCAACCACTGTCCCAAATGCAGCCAATGGGGACGCGCGCAGGCGTCCTGTGGAAAGGCAGCCGGGTGCGGTGTGTGCGCTGGCTCTCACCATAGTCGGGATTGTCCAAGTAAATGGGTTTCTTGCGCAAGCCACGGCAGGGAACAACGTTCGTGGTAAAAAGCAGCGTGTCAGAATTACCAGATCTACAAGGGAAGTATGGAGAAGGCTTGGATGGATCTTTTATGGAGAACAGCGGAAACTTAGAATGAGAATCTTACAACGGCGCCAATGCGAACAGTCGAAACGACTGATGATCAGTGATTCTAGTTGGCCACCAGGAAGAAGACTGAAGGACTTAGAAGAGGACCGGAACGAGCGCGAAACTTAGTCAAAGCCCCTGCGCCACCATTGGTGCCTACTCCCCGATCACCTCGTCTACCAACGCTGGCTGAGGTGGTACCTTCACTCTTTAATTTCTCATAACAGTAGTCTGATCGAAGGGGAGGTTACCCAAATTTGGGGAAAGTTTATAAAATTGCGGTTCAAAGGAAAGTTCTCAGTATAAAACTGGGTCGGTTCAGAGTGGCAGGATAGTGGGTTTTGTTTATAAAAAGCCTATTACCTAACCAATG